CATATAATGGGCTGAATGGTACACGGAAATTCCATTCAAGCCAGTAGATAATGCCTAATTCAATGGATTGTGTTATCAAAGACACCACCTTGCAGTTTGAAAGTATTGTAGTCATCAAATTTCTGTCAGTAAGGTGCTGTTTAATGCTGTGAGATACTACCCTGTGTGAGAAGCACTATATAAATAATAATCCTTGCATTTGATATAGCGCCTTATCACGTCATTGAGGTATCTCAAAGCACTTCATAGAATATTCTGTAAAGTGAATTGACTATATACTTTGTGGGCAAAACACGGCTGCCAATTGCACACAGCAGTATCCCACAAACAGTCATGGATTGAATGACCAAATTACTAAAAATAATTAATGCAAGTTATTGTTCTGTAGCAAAATGCCACATAACAACTGAAACTATATTTGTATAGCACATGAATAATAATAAATAATAATACAAATCATTGCATTAGGTATAGTGCCTTTCACATTGGAAGGATGTCTCAAAGCTGTTTACAGGATTTATTGTTCAATGGAGAGTGGTTTTCTCCCCCCAAAAATACACAGTAAATTCACTTTACACTAATTCTGTGAATAGCTTTGAGACATCTCAATGACGTGATAAGGCATTATATTAAAGGCAAGGATTATTATTATTTCTGTTGCAGACAGTTCCAATTAATTACAGGCCATGTTATATTTAGAGAACTTTGGTGTAACTGCTAGCAAAAAAGATCCTCTGTAATCATCCACAGAAAACACAAGTTGTAAATAACAAGCTCACTGAATTTTGTTTGAGGATAAAACAGACTTGGGTGGATCAGGGTAAGGTGGCACATGTTTCTGCTTGGTTTGGTGGGAGTCGTACGCATGTGGGAACTCTTTGCCGTGTTTAAGAATCTCCAGCTCTATTCGACTGAATGTGGAGAAAAACCCAAACCCTTGAGTTTGGTATCTGGCACCGTCCCTCACTTCTGGCTCTGAATGCACCAACCTCCCAGCTGCTCACTTAGAGCTCACCAAGCCAATGTGCAATCTCAGTGCTTTATTTGCCTCTCTACTCTCCTTAAAGCCTTTTGTCTGGTCCTTGACCAGGTCCACTTTCCTCCATTAGTTTAGGGGTTAGAGCACTTGCCTCACAAGTGAGAGGATATGGGTTTGATTCCAGTGCAGGGCGAAACGTTGGGCAAGATTCCTTGCTCCACACACCTCTGTTTACCTAGCAGTGAGTAGGAACAAGCCTTTCACACTGGGAAGACGTAAAGGGGGAGGATAGGATGTAGGGATACAGAAAAGATTAGCACAACTCAGCTAGTTTTCTGGTATTATTACTGGTATGTTGTAGCATAATTTAATGCAGATCGCTTGTCTTTGAAACAGCTCTGAGTAGCTAAAAGCCCTGCTTTCAGCTGTGTGTGCAGGAGGCGGCAGCTAGATTTCTACAGTGCGGCGGTATTGGGCAACCAGCAAGTGTCCTCGCTGTTAGTGGAAGAACTGTCTCTGCTCAAACAAGACTGTGTTTGTACAGCATGAAAGAAATCTCATGTTTACTGTGTCAGTGTACGACCTTAAGTGCCTTTCAGCTGTTAAAAGGATATTACACCGAACAGCACTGAAGGATAGCAACCCAGGAAGAAATAAAATAATGCATTTCCTTTTCAAAATAAGTTGATTATTTGCCTCCTCTTCATGTCAGGCCATCCTTGGTATAGAGTGCAATAACCACCTTTGGTTCTCATGCTACTAGATGTGTGGAAGGGTGCCAAAGTCTTCGCCTTTAATTTGCCTCTCCCAGCGACTGTTTGAGAGCAGCAATTCGGTCACATGGGAGTTCACAGACATGAACCCCTGTATTATTCTAAAAGGGTGGTTGGAATGGCAGCGTCCTGGAGTCCCCCGCTTTGGGGTGGGTCATATACAGGTTCCCATGTCGAATCCAGACACAGCTCGCTGCCACACTCCGCCAATGGCATCAGGAGAAGGAGCCAAGTAGGGTCATGTCGCCATTTTCCATTTAGAGAGGTTCAGCTCTTTTCCTTCCTTAGCCCATTCCCTCACAACATGAGAGAGCCTGGCCGGGGGTGGTGAGGTGGGTGGGAGGGGGGAGGGGAGAGGAGATCTTACAGGGAGGTGTGTGATCCCTGCTTGGTTGGTTCTCTCCCCCCCCCCCCCCACCCCCCACCCACGGTTGGAGAAAGATTTGGCATCTGAGACTGAAGTGGAATAATCATGAAGGGAAAAAATTAACAAGAAGGACGACGGGAAGCTAAAAGAGACAAACACAGAATTATTACCTATCGACAGGCCAGATATCTGAGGGCTAATGGAGCGGGAGGAACTGCCAGGAAAGTATGGATTGTGGTGCCTCCATATACAGGTCAAAGAAGACGGGGAAAGTGTTGTGTAAACAAGGTGGGAACCCTGTCGGGTTGAATTTCAGGTTGGATGAGCTGCTGTGCCCTGGAGAAAAAAAGCCTGCGTTCACTTCCATTGCATCATAGAAATGGCATTTGGTTCCAAGGAAATGAAAGGAGAAACATTTTGATTGCTTCAAATGAATCTTGCCCCAGTTCATATGACTGAGAACTCTTCAAGTGATTTCTGTGTACTTTAAACTTCTCTGCAGGCTTTCCTGCCATCGGTTGAGCCTCATGATCAACCAATGAGCCGAACAAATCGCTGCATTAAATGTTTTGAACGCAATAGCAGTTTTTTTTAAAAATCGAAAAGATGGTTCGTTGCAGTGTACCTGAGTAGGAGGCGTCTGACAGAGGTCTACAGGATGTCAGGAGCTTTAAAAACACTAATATACTTCAGCTCCTTTGAAGAAGCAGAAACTCGCTCTTTTATAGTCCCAGTGGCCATAGACCAATTAGCGGTTCAAAAATAATGTTTCACTGTATCTCCCTATGGAGATGTATTGGCCTGTACCTGTTTATTTAAAAGCAAGCTTTGTCTCCTTGTTTCTGCTTAAACCTGCGCACAACGTATGAAAGGCGCCTCAATTATCCACCGCATTGGAAGTACCCAAGGGTATAACTGATATTGACAATTACTCCAGTGAATCTGGACTGACTTCAAACCTCTTCATTCACTTCCTGCTGTGTAAAAATGCTTTAGTTAAATTTTTTTAAAATCGAGTGCTGAAGTGAACATCCAGACCAGAGTTAACAACACAATACACTGCCAAGGTTAACTGTAGCAGAGTAAACAAGATCAGTTGAGAAACGTAATAATGATCCTTGCATTAGATATAGCAGCTTATCATGTTATTGAGATGTCTCAAGTGATGTACTGTAGAGTGGTGTGACTATGTATTTTGTGGGCGAACAGGGAGGCCAATTTGCACACAACAATGTTCCACAAGCAGCCGTGGAGTGAGTGACCAATTTTATATGGGAAGTTGTTGGCCAGGTCACCAGGATAAACTCCCTTCTCCTTTCGAAAAGTGCCATATGGCTCTTTAACATTCACCTGGACAGGCAAATGAGACCTCAGTTTAGCATCTCCCCCAAGGACGGCACCTCCAACCCTCAGCATTACATTGGAGTGTCAGCACAGACTACATAGGTTTTAAGGCCTGATGTTGGACTTGAACCAACAACCTTCTGACTTAGACGCAAGGGTGCTACCTTGTGAGCCAGGCTGACACAAACGGCACCAAGGCTAAAAAGCCTGCAGTTTGTACGAGGGGCGCCTTGGGACGTCCTCCCAACGTGAAAGGCGCTCTACAAATGGAATCTTGTTGTTGTTGTTGAGGAAGAGAAGACTGATTGAAGTGAGGGATTTCCACAGTATTAAGCTTTTGGGAAACATTGGATTCTTAAATGCAAATAGGAGGGAGAACATGCAGCAAAAAGTGCTCAAAACTTCAAAGGAACAAGGAAAGGAAAGCTCAGTGGAGCAGCAACAGCAATCTTGATAAGCGAGGGGAACGGGAAGCAGACAAGAAGGAAATTGCAAATGTTACAGTTGGAAACAAAACCACTGGAAATAAACAGCGGGTCAGTAGTCCACAGTCAAATGATAAAAGGTTGGTTGGCCTTTAGGATGTGACACTTGATCACAATTGTGAAGCTTAGAAGAACGAGCTGCTATAGAGGAGGGCAAGAGCAGAGGTGGTGGGGGGGGTTGGCTCAGAAGACAGGAAAATATTAGGTGAATACGTTGAGAAATTGGGTCATAAAGAGGTTTTGGGATGCCTCTGAAAGAAGCTGGAAGAAAGAATACAAGATTGTGGTAAAGAAGCGTGAAGTATCAGTAAAGCTCAGAGAAAGAAAACAGGAAAGATTGTGTTGGAGCAATAGGGGATGGAGGCCAGGAATGAGGGAAAGGTCAGACGAAAGGCCTTTTCTTTGTATCCTGCCCAGAGAGGCAAGAACGGGCTTCGAGGAGTCTCATCAAATGATAGATGGATCTTAAAGCTTTTTAGTGAAAATCCGGTTGGTGAGGAGAAAATAATAAACAAAAGTCAAAATACTGCAGAGGCTGGAAATCTGAAATGAAAACAGAAGTTGCTGGGAACACTCAGCAGGTCAAGCAGCATTTATGGAGAGAGGAAAGTGAGTTAATGTTTCAGGTCGATGACCTTTCACCAAAGCTCCAGAACTTCAGTTCTGACGAAGGTCATCGACCTGAAACGTTAACTCCCTTTCCTGTCTCCGTAGATGCTGACTGACCGGCTGAGGGTTTCCAGCGACTTCTGCTTTTATTTGAGGAGAAAATATTATTTGTCTCAAAAGAGGAATCCAAGTCCTTTGGAATTTGCTTCAGAAGTAAGATGAGGTTATTGCCCAGTGTTAATGCAACACCTGGGTCAACACTTCTTGAATGAACTTTCTCTGGCAAAGTAGTGATCTGCATTTGCTCTGCAGCTCTGATCACTGAGCGGAGAATGAGAATAACAAAAAAAAGTGTCGGATATAGGGCCTTCCCAGGGTGTAACACTTTATGCTTTATTTTGCTTTTCTACTAATTTTTGGCAAAATTCATGTTTCAAAACTAGGATTTTGTACCGCTTTACCAAGACTTTGAAAACTTCTACAAAAGGAATCTGTACATGAGGGTGCGAGACAACTGGAATCGGCCCATCTGCAGTGTGCCAGGACCTACATTTGACCTGGTGGAGCGGGTCACTGACGACTACAACTGGACATTCAGGTACAAAGCTCAGAACAATGTCCATAATGATAATTTGGTCACTCAATCCACGACTGTTTGTGGGACACTGCTGTGCGCAATCGGCTCTGGCGTTTCACCCACAAAATATACAGTCACTTCACTTTACAATATATTCTGTGAAGCGATTTGAGACGTCTCAACGATGTGCTATATCAAATGCAAGGATTATTATTATTTTGTCCTGAGCCATAGGGACATATCAACCAGTGTTTTACTTTTCTTTTCCTTCCACCCATGTCACCCTTCTCACTCAATTATCCTGCTGCCATTTCCCAATTTCACACATGCCTAATGTCACTTGGATGAAGCATATTAGGCCCAGCGGCCTTCCCACGTGAACTGTACACCCCTGAAAGCTTCTCTTTTTCCCTCCAGTCCTAACATTTGAACCTAGGAGTCTCTGAGTGTGTGAAAGGATGTGGACTGTGAAGGTCTGGATGATCTGGAGCTTCTGGAGAATAGAGTTGAGGAGGCCAGTGAGCAGGGCATTGGAAAAGTCGAAGCGGAGGTGAAAAATGTGTGGCTGGGGGAGGAGGAGGAGCGGGTTTCAGCTGCATGGGAGATGAGGTAGTGACAGGGTTGGCAATGTTGCAGAAATGGAGGAAAGTGGATTTGGTCAGAGCCCAGTAGAAAGGTTTGAACGAGAGTTGAGGGTCAAACAAGACGCTGAGGTTCCACACTGAGTTCATGAGTTGGAGTGAGCAACCAGTGAGCGAGGGTGACAGAGTCAGCCCCATGAGGCGAGGGAGTGGGGAGAAAAGGGGGTCTTTTTATTCTGGTTTGTATAGTAGCGCTATCAAGGGATAAGGAGCAAAGATGGGTAAATGGAGTTGAGGTACAGATCAGCCATGTCCTAGTAGAATGGCGGAACAGACTCAGGGGCTGAATAGCTTATTCCTACGGTTGTGCCAGGGGATGTTGTGCCGCAGGTCAAAGGTCCATATGACCCATGTGGTTGACTCTGACGACATCCCTTTACAATGCAGTCACTGCGAGCTGATGGTCTGGGCTCTGCGTGTATTGCTCTAGAGTCTAGATGAATATTGATCATGGAATTTATTACAGATACACAGGACGAATAATTAAAGATGTCATTAATATGGGTTCCTATAACTACCTGGGCTTCGCGGAAAACCACAGTGAGTTCCTGAAACCTGTTGCAGAGGTGATGATGGAGTACGGTTCAGGAGTGTGCAGCACGAGGCAGGAAATGGGTATGTATCCATCTTTCTGAGTCTGTCCATGTATATTGACTGTAGCTCCATTGGTGGGTGGATAAAAGGCCACATTTAATCATCCCACATTAACTCTGCTGCGTTCTGTAATGTACTTGTTGTTTCAGGTAGCCTGTCCCTCCATTTATTCTTCCTGTAAGCTTGGGTGTAATCTCGGACCTTTGCAGGAAACACACCAATGCACCTCTTTTTATTAAGAACAGTCTTTGGAAGTTTTTTCGTTTTACAAATTAGAGACTTATTAGTAGTTATAAAATGCTTCTTGTGGGCAACAATGAAGGCTGTATTTAATGGAAGGCAGCGACAGGGACAGGACTTTAGTGAATGGATGGCCTTGTGTACACCAATCAGTGATACAAATCGGGTCTTTAGGTTGTCATGGAGTCTATGCAGTGAGGAGGAGGAAGGAGAAGCGGCTCAACCCCTTTAAAGATTTGTACTATAGATAGATTTGCAGGGAGCTTGGCCCCCTCCAGCCCTAGCCACTTGCCGCCTACGGCTCTGAGTGAGTTAATTTACAGCCCAGGTATATAATGGAACTTTTTATTGATTGGATTTTGGTGCTCATCAAGGCAGTGGATTTAAGCCCTTTGAATTGTCCTCCTAATATGAAACGTGCTTTATAAATTGTACTGTATGAATGCTAATACTGGGCAATGGGAAACTTCAGGTCTCTGGTGTCAGGGTCAAACACTTCCAGATCATGTGCAGCACAGACACCAGTGCGTGCATTTCTCTACACTCTGTCCCCAACAGTGTAGTTAACCTTTGTATTGTTTTATCACTTTATGTTCTTTTTCTTAAAGCAATTATCCTCCTTTCTCTCTTTCTCTTCATCCTCCGCCACCCCCAAAATCTATATTCTCCCATACCCCAAAAATAGCTCGTGAGTATGCCTGTGAGAGCCGAGTTGTCCATCAGCTTGGCTCAGTGATAGCACTCTTGCGTCTGAGTCATAAGGTTGTGGGATCAAGCCTCACGTCGGGTCTTGAATTTGCATAGTCTAAGCTGACACTCCAATTCAGTGATACGGGGACTTTAAAGATCCCAGATGGACTTTAAAGATCCCAGAGCACTATTCGAAAAGAGAAGGGAGTTTCTCCCGGTGTCCTGGCCAACATTCACTGAGATAAAATTGGTCATTCACTTCATGGCTGTTTGTGGGTCATTGCTGTATGCTAACTGGCTGTCGGGTTCACCCATAATTACAGTCACTCCGCTTGACAGTAAATTCTGTGAAGCGCTTTAGGACGTCCTCGATCGAACATAAAGATAATCATTATTATTTATTAAAATATTTTGACATCTATCTGTTTACCTGGAGTCCTGTAGCTCAGTGGTTAGAGCTCTCGCTTTGCAAGCGAGAGATCTGAGTTCAATTCCAGGCAGGGCGAAACCTTGGGCAAGTTTCCTTACTCCACACAGAGCCTAATAATAATCCCTCCAAAACAAAAAACAATAATAAATTGGTCATTTTCAATCTACGACTGTTTGTGGGACATTGCTGTGCGCAATTGGCTGCCGCGTTCGCCCACAAATATACAGTCAATTCACTTTACAGTCTATTCTGTGAAGCGCTTTGGGACGTCCTCCCGACGTGAAAAGCGCTATATCAAATGCAAGGATTATTATTATTATTATTATTACCTGCACTTGAATTTGAGCTGTTTGATGCATCTTTGCAAAGCCTGAATGTGCTCCTGCTCCTCCTGAGCTGTGAGCCAGTTGCTTGTTGTGATTGTTGCCCTCTTAACAGCAGTCTGTTATTAAGCAAAGCGAACCCTGGGCTTTGTGTGTCCCTGTGATTCTCACCATGGAAACAGCACAGGAGCTTAGGGCATCTCAAACAGCCATTCTAAACTTTCTTTGCTCCACGTAATGTTTATTCAGACATTGCTGGTAGTTTGGGTGGATGTGGAGGGAGGGACTGATAACTTCTGGAATTTCTGGTTTTCCCAGCTAAATGCCTGGGATTTATTGTAAAGCTGCAGCATAATCATACTTACTGGAGTGGAAGCCACAGGAGGTGTGTTGTAGCATTCTTGCCTCTGAGTCAGAATGTTTTGGACTCGAGCCCTTTTTTGGGGGACTTGGAATCACATAGTCTAAGCTAATACTCTAATGCAGTGCTGAGGGGTTGGATGTTGCATTGTCGGAGGTGCCATCCTTCAAGTGACCCATTAACCCGAGGTCCCGTCTGCTTGTTCAGATAGTCATTAAAGATCCCTTTTCGAATAGAGAAGGGAATTTCTCTCTCCTGGTGTCCTGGCCAACAATCCTCCAAATAAAATTGAATATTTACTACATGACTGTTCGTGGGACATAGCAAATAGCTGTGCGCAACTGGCTGCCTCGTTTCACCCACAAAATAATCAATCCACTTTATAGTATATTGTGTGAAGTGCTTTGAGATGTCTTGACAACGTGATAGGGCACTATATCAAATGCCAAATGCGAGGACTAGTATTTTTATTATTAGAGTCACTTGGCACTAGAGGGTCGTTTCTTGCTGAAAACACTTTGTATTTGAGATGGGATGTGGAATGTCCAGCTAGCTGCGTGGACCAGGTTGCAGCGCTGACCATGTGGCGCTGACTTTTGCTCTCGGGTGCAAGGTATAAAGGTTCTTCTGCAGCAGGTGCTAGTGAAACATGTGACTAATCTACCTGTTGGGCAATTCAGTTTATTTTATGAGGCAAGATTTCAATCATTGCCAAGCTGTGGATCCAACTCAGACCGTGCTTTGTTTCAACCAACAAAAATAATCAGAGTGGAAAATGCTCATGCCTGTGAACGATTAAAGCAGACGGAAGGTCTGATCAGTGTTTGATCAGAAATGAAATGTACCACAGAAAACATTGGCTTTTCTTTCTGGCTTTCAAGTGCTTGCTCTGCCGTCTCCATTCTTGTTTCATGTTCCCACTGGCTCTGCCTTTCTTCTCGTACCTGGATTACTTTGAACATTTTACTGCCTTGACGTACCCTGCAATAATCATAGCAATTGCTTTTAAGACATTGCCTTGTCACTGATATTGTGGGACACAGCTGTGCGCAATTGGCTGCCGCTTTTCGCCCACAAATATACAGTCAATTCACTTTGCAATATATTCTGTGAAGTGTTTGAGACGTCTCGAAGACGTGAAAAGCACTATATCAAATGCAAGGATTATTATTATCAAGTAGAAATATCTCAAAAGAGTTTACTAGTAATGACCATTAAGTGCCGTGATTATGTATTTGTAAGTGAACTCTGCAGCTAATTTTCACACAGCAATGTCCCACAACCAGATAGGTGAACGAACCAATTTAACTGAAATGTTATTGTCCAGGATACCGAGAGAAATATAGAAACAGGAGTAGGCTATTCAGTGCCTCGAGTCTGTTCCACCATTTTATAAGATCATGGCTGATCTGTACCTCAATCTCCCTTCTCTTTTCGAATAGTGTGTGGGATTATTAATGTACAACCTGGATAGGCAGATTTGACCTTGGTCTAACATAGCTTCAAATGCCCCTCCGTTCTACTGTAATTGTGATCAGTTTAAATACTGATATTTTGTTGTTTTCACATTGTAAGCATAAAGCTGGTGGCCTCCGCTTGCTATTTTGCACTTCCCACTCCTTACTACAATAAACTCCTGATAACTTATCGCTCCAAGGGAAAGGGGCTTAGTGACGAGTTATCCAGAGTGGCGAGTTCGGCATTTGTATAAATACATAAACAAATACGGCCGGGATATTAACAGCACGATTCTTAAGCAATCGTGACAAGGAGTTTACTGTATTCTTCTGTGACCACAGACTTGTCACAGACTGCAAACCGTTACTGTCTTGCTCAGTGAGAGGTCATTAAACCCAAGGAGATAATCCCTGTATCACAATTTGTGAAGCGATTTGAAGTTTAGATTAGCTGCTGCACTTGTCTACATAACAGCTATCACAGAATTTCAGCGAAACTCGTTGTGTGAAGTGCTTTGAGCTGATTCGTCTTGTACAAAACCTAAGTTATTATATTAATAGTAATTATTATAATAACTAATAAACATTGTTTCATTGGGTATAGCGCTTTTCATATCAGAGGACGGCCCAAAGAGCTCCACAGGATATACTGTAAAGTGGAGCCACTGTGTTTTTGTGCGCAAACATGGCAGCTAACTTGCACACACCACTGTCCCCTAAAATCACATGGAGTGAATGACCAATTTTATTTTATTTGGGGGATTTTTGGCCAGGGCAAAGGTGATATAAAGGACAAGAGAGAGGCCCAGTAACAAACAAAAGTATATGACCCCAAAAAATCACTGAGACTGGCAGCTGTAGTTTATCATCGTCAAGTGAGAAGTCATAAAGTTTGAAAAAAGAACAAAGAAAAAGTGTACCTAAATGGTGAAGTTCTTGATGTTGAGGAACCGAGAGATGTAAGGATGCAGATACAACAACAACAAAATGACACTTATAGAGTCGGGAGGATGTCCCAAAGTGCTGAACAGTCAGGTGTCGGGGTCCGAGCATAGACGAGGGCTGGTGCAGGGGTGCGGGAAGGCAGAGAGGTGGGAGGGAGACCAAAGGTACGGTCGAAGAGAAAGATCTTGAGACCGACCTTGAAGTAGGCAAGGGAGGAAGTGAGGCAAAGGGACCGTGGGATGGAGTTCCAGAGTGTGGGGGCAGAGAGGCTGATAGCCTGGCCACCGATGGTCGGGCGGGTGACATGGAGCAGGCTGGAGCCCGATGAACGGAGGGAGCGGGCAGGTTGGTAGGGAGTCAGCAGGTCAGAGAGGTATATAGGACTTTAAAGGTGAGACTGCAGCTAGAAAAAGCAATAAAGTAGGAAAATGGGATTTTGTACATTTTATATATAGGGGCATTGAATATAAAAGTAAGAAAGTTATGTTACATTTACATAAGATGTTGGCTAGGCCACAGTTGGTGTACTGTGTGCAGTTCTGCTAAACGTGGAGTCCCCGTGGTGTAGTGGTTAC